ACCAACATCATCATCAATCTCAACAACATCATCATCATCTTCAACCTCATCCTCATCATCAAGCAAGAAAACTAAGCATATACCTCGACGATTACAAAATCGGTAAACCGTCAGGTGACCTACATCATCATCATTCTCATCATCATCATCATCAAAGCAGTGACGTCACTACTGCTGGTGATGACGATGGTGGTAGCGATGGTGGTGGTGGTGGTGATCAAGCTGCTACTTACACTAAGAAATCTGTTTCACTGCCTTTGGAATCAATGAACAACAATAAAAACAACAACAACAATAATAGTAATAATAATAACAGAAGTTTTGATAATGATATGTTCAACGACAATAGCAAAAAAATTTCTAGGAAAAGTTACAGAAATTATAGCAACGACAACATCATCAACCTCAACAACAACAACAACATCAACATCAATCTCAACAACAACATTAACCTCAACAACCTCATCAACAACAACAACATTAACCTCAACAACAACAACATCAACGACAACATTAACCTCAACAACAACCTCATCAGCAACAACAACAACAACATCAACCTCAACAACAACAGCAACATCAACAACAACATTAACCTCAACAACAACAAACTCATCAGCAACAACAAAAGAACAAAAATGTCCCCAATAGTTAAGCCTGTAATGGGAACAACGGCCTATGTTGCTTCGAGGAAAATTGTTGAGCAACAACAACAACATCAAAAACAACAACAACATCAACAACAACAACATCATCATCAAAATTTAGCAGATCTCAACAAATCTTTCTCAACGACTTCGATAGATTTCATCACATCACAGTTACAACAACAACAACAGCAGCAGCAGCAACAACAAAAATCTCAAACGAATTTCAACAAAATTTCAAGAAAACTATCAACTCTATTCCCAACAAAGACAACAGCAACAACCAAAAACATCAACAACAACATCAACAACATCAACAACAGCATCAACAACAACACCCTAGCCAGCAGTACAGACGAAGGCTACCACACAAGGTCTTCCAAAATGGCGGGAAACGAAGATGAGCTTGGGACTGACTTCAACGACCCCTTAATCATGCGAGCCGTGCTCTAAATGCTAATTAGGTCAAACAACAGATAAAATTGGGGCAAACAAGAAATGAAATTAGGTCAAACAACAAATGAAATTGGGGCAAACAACAGATGAAATTGGGGCAAACAACAAATGAAATTGGGGCAAACAACAGATGAAATTGGGCAAACAAAAGATGAAATTAGATCAAACAAGAAATGAAATTAGGTCAAACAACAAATGAAATTAGGTCAAACAACAAATGAAATTGGGGCAAACAACAGATGAAATTGGGGCAAACAACAAATGAAATTGGGGCAAACAACAGATGAAATTGGGGCAAACAACAGATGAAATTGGGGCAAACAACAAATGAAATTGGGGCAAACAAAAGATTGAATCGGGTCGATAAAAAATCAACTCGAGAATGGAAGTATAAATTTAAACGACAGATATTTGTAACTAACTTCATTAAATTTCAGCGTACTCATTCATTGAAACTCAACAGAAAAAATTTTAATTAACATTTAAATTGATTTAATTAACTATATTTTAAAAATTAATCATTGTTATTTAAAAATAGTGGAATAGATCGTTACCAGTTCATGCTTATAATTCTGCCCGCGAAATAGTTCATTATCACTCTGCGGGGTGTTCAGCTTGATCCAGTCTTGATACTCCTCGCTGAATCTCGTGCAGACTATGGCGACCTGTACCTACCAGAAAACAGGTGGTAGCTTCAACCACTGAGCTTCCAGATCTTTGCGGCTTAATTTGCATGTTAAAGGACCAAAAACGTCGCCATAATATAATAAAATAATTTAAGTAAGAATAATTTTAATCCTTACTAAAAAATTTTCAATTTTTATTTACTACTAATTTAGGCACTCGGTAAACGTCTCTTGGTTGAGTTTTAAAAAATATCGATGTTCAAGAGAGCTTTCAGCTGCAAAATATCAACATTTTATTTAATAGACAATAAAAACTTTTGCCTTTTCTTGACGATCCTACTCTTCTCCTTCTTGTCACTTCGTTAGTCTTATCTAGGATTGGTTATTGTAACTCGCTCTACTATGGTCTTCCTTATTCTACACTAACGATCGTCTTCTTGTTCTCACTTCTTCTTAACTCGCGTTAAAGACTCTTTTGCTAAATCTACATTTGCTTTTTCTGGCCCTTTTCTCTAGAAATCTTTATCTTCTTCTCTGACAACTTTTCCTTCTCCAAATTTGATTGACTGACTGAATGAATGAGTGAGTGAGTAAGTGAGTGAGTGAGTGAGTGAATGAATGAATGAATGAATGAATAAATGAATGAATGAATGAATGAATAAACGAACGAATGAATGAATGAATCGAACGAACGAATGATTGATTGATTGGAAATAGCGTATTTTTTAGTGAGAAATGTAGCCCAGCATTTGTGCCACCACAACTCCGAAGAAGACAGAGCCGGCAGGGACAGCTGCCATAAAAATTTGTTGCCTTGTAGGTCAGATTCTGTAAGGTCTTGAAGATTTTTTTTATCGCTAAAGGAGGCTTATAGATAAAAAATTAAAAAGATTAAAAAAATTAGTTCGGTTGGAATTTATTTCAATAACATTAATCTTGGCTTGTTTTACTAATTTTAATTTACTAAAAATGACTAGCTGTCAGGGAGGCGAGAACGATGATTAGCAGAGTTTGTATGGATCTCTTTGGGTGCAACTTCTTCAAAGTCACTAGCATTGAATGAAATTCATCAAAATTTTACGCGTATTTATTAAAATTGAATTAAGTTAAGAATAGAATTAATATTAATAAAAGTGTAGAAACTTGAAAAGAATTGAGGAAGATGTTAAATAATATACAAAATTATAAATACCTCTTTAAATATATAAATTATAACAATTAGTTCTTAAGGTTTTCTGATGGTTATCTTAAATAACGACACACGAGATGACATTCTATTTTTTCACAGCATTATCGTTTGATTCATTGAATGTCAGCTATTAGCTTTTTTCAATGGCAGGCACTTTTACATCAAAAGACAATATCTTTGACAAAAAAATTTGCTATTTAGCTATTTAAGTACATATGTGGCCCTTCAAAGGTCAAATAGTCCTAAATGCGGCCCTCACAGCAAAACGTTTGCCCACCCCTGATCTAGATGATAATTTAGGTTAGGAGGTATAAGTAAATATAGGTTATATATAGATATATGTTAAAGTAGGGTAAGCAGTTAAAATGACAGCTAAGTTATAAAAGTAGTTCACGGCGAGACAACAAATTTACAGACATAAAACAGCTCAATATAAGACAAAATATAACGTCTATAATTAATCAGAATTAATTTCGGATGG